TGAGCAACCTCCTGTCGGACAAGCATCCTCATGGTGGATGCTGAGATCTTTGGAGTGGTAGTTGCCATTTAAACAGGTTTGGGGCCAGGGCAGCAGCTTGCAAAGCTGGAAGCCCAAGTGCATGATTTGTTCAAGAGCCTGGATTCACAGCAGCGAGCAGTGGTCCAGCGCGCTCCTCTCTGATGGAAGAGTATGTCCTTTAGGCTTGGCAGCATAAAACAGAGGGGTGCAGGATGTGGGGGAGCGATGGGACACGGAGCTTGTCCGTGGCATTGCCTGGCTGACATGCGTGTTTTGTGTCCAGGTTGCTGTCCCCCCGGCCCAGCCTGCTCAACACCGCCAGCGATGCCAGGCTGAACTCCTCGCCGCAGAAGCCGCTGGACCTGAAGCAGCTGAAGCAGCGTGCTGCTGCCATCCCTCCCATCGTGAGTACCCCACCAGAGAGGGCCGGGACTGAGAACACCGTGGCCGCGCGTGCCTCGTGCGTGCTTTTCCACTGGGCTGTGTCCCTGCGTGGCGTGCGTCGGGGTTGCAAGGATGTGCTCACCCCTGCAGATGGCCGAGCTCGTGGTCTGCAGAGAGCTGTGCCAGCCCCCCAGCAGACAAGGTGCTCTCTGTGCAGAGCATGTTCCCAGCTGCTGGAGCGACTCTGCCAGCAACGTTTGGATGTCCCTTGAGCTCTTTTATCAGAAAGTTGTGGGAGGTCGGGACAGAAAAAGCTTTTCATTGCCACATGACTGCTGCCTCCCGTTGCTTTAAAAAGCGAGCGTGCACCTTCCCAGCCCTGTGCTTCTCTTATCTCATGTGCTTGGAGGATACCACATAAGAAGCATTTATGCTCTTCCTCATCTAGAAGCTCTGCTTGGTCCCCCTTTTTGGCTACCCGGTAGCCGTGTACTGAAAGAACATGTATTCTCCGAGGCTGATGGTTCCTCCTGGTGCAGTGGTTTGGGCTGAGACAAAAAGCACCCTGGTATCTCCAGGGTCAACGCCAGAGGAGCAGCATTACAGGGTGTGGAGGGAGGAAATCCCTGCTTTTGGCTTTTGAGTACTCGGGGAGGACCCGTTCCTGATGCTCTTCCAGTTTCCCATGTTATAGCTTAAGATGTGGCTGCTGTAATGTAACTTCTGGCAAAAGCTACGAGCACTTAACTGTATAGTAGAGGTTTTAAACAAGGGAAGTCTGAGGCTCTCCTGTAGTGTCACCAGCACAGAGCTGATACTCTTTGTTGAGGGCTTTTTTAATCTCCTGTGGCTGGTGAGCTTTGGAGCCCTGTTTGGGGCTTGCGGTGACGGCGTGGGGCAGGTCCCTCTCATAACACCTTGATGTCTCCAAGACTGTTCTGGGGGTCAGCAGCACAAGTGTCACCAACTCTTACTGCTTTGCAGATTTCCGAAGGTTTCACGGAGGGGATATTGCAGAGTGGAAGTGTGAAGCCTCAGGTGCCTCCCCATGCCTTGGCCCTCTACCAGCAGCAGATCACGAAAGCCCATGAGTCTGCCCGCGAGGACATGCCCCCAGGCAAGCTATCGCAGTCCCAGCAGCAGGCGGAGAAGGAGCAGCAGCAGCCAAGCAGCAGTCCCAGGGGAAAGAGCAGGAGCCCCGCTGTTGGTGACAAGGAAGGTAGGAGGGTGCGCACGTCGCTGCATGTTTATCTGCACAGAAATGCCCGGTGTGTGCAGCTGGACGCAGCCGGCAGCTTTCCTTCTCTTACGTGAAAGCTTGCTTCAACCCTTGAAAGCTCTTTAATAGCATCTTGAAGCAGGACCAGAGAGGCATGGCTAATTTCCCATGTTCATTAGACAGTACATCATGTCTCATTGAGCCTACAGCAAACACCGGGCCGGTGTCGAGCGCTGAGGAGGTGAAGATTGCCTTTATTAGCGTCTCTGCCATTCACTTGAGAGCAAAGGGGCCTGGAGGCATGCCAGGGCTCCGGGTACAATGGCTCTTTTCTACCTTGCTGGCTTTCTATAAAGAATGCTTTTAATGCTCAGCGGGGACCATTATTTCATTTAAAATCAATGCTAATACTGTGACTCGGAGTCCAAAGGTTCCTGTAAAGATTCCCAGTGCTTTCTCCCCGGAATAGCTCTGATGTGGTTTGGCTGCCTAATGAGCAATTCAGAGCTTCCCACCGTAGAGCATCTGAAGCGTTATTAGCTTGAGCACCTGGGGATCAAAGTTAAGGAGAGATGGGAAGTCCTGATGAGACCATCCTCTAAATATGTTTTTAATCTGAGTGTCAGAGTCTGTTCCAGGTCAGAGTCTCTGTCCCTGCCCCTCGTAGCCAGCCTGCAGTTCAATTGCATGTGAAGACGAGAGGCTGTGGCACGATCAGAGGAGCAGGGAAGTCGGGCTGGGTGGGTGCGATATCCCCCAGTGCTGGATCCTGCACGGGGGTGGGTGCAGCTGCAAAAACTACCTGCTTATGCATGGAGATGGGAGGTGGATGAGACTACACTGACGAGGCAGATCTGCCCTGGACCTGGGCTATGATCTTTGTTGGAAAATCAGTGCACTAGCTCACCCGCCGGTAGCCAGGATCTTAGCAGCCTGCTCTGCGGTGTCCAGGCCCAAGTATTTATTCTTCAAGCAGTCATGTCCCTCTGGACATAATGGTGTGCTTGCAAGAAGAGTTGGTTGGTGGCACTTGGCCAAATATTTTTTTAAGCAATAGGACCATGTGTGCATCACACCTCCAGAATGCTTTGCATGTAAGCAAGGAAGGTGACTGCTCACCTTGAAAGAACAGGAGTTTCCCCCGAGTTGTGTCGTTGCCACCTGTGAAGTCCCATCTCCAGCTGTGCTCGTGTTTGCTGCCCAGGCAGAACAGTTCCCCTCCAGCTCTCCCCGCTGGCAGTGGGTAATCAGGTTTGATCTCTTCCTGCGCCATAATCCTGTGTGGATCTGGTCTTGCACAGCTCAGCTTCCTGGTGAGCTGGGTGGCACAGCCAGCGCTTGAACCCGGAGCTCCGCATCGCTGGCGTCCCAGCGCTGCGGCTCCAGCTTCCTGCTGGCCACAGGAGGATGAGGAGGGGAGGCAGATTTGTGTGCGTTAGGTACAAGGCAGGGTTTGGGGGTTGGAGATCAACCACGCCATTCAGCGACCTGTTGGCACTATTATTAAATGCAGAGATCCGATACCCAGGTGGATTTCTTACGGCTTTGTTCTCTGCAAAGCACTCATGATATGAAGCACTTCATTTTCTCCTCTCATACCTCTGTAGTGCTCTGAATCTTCCATGTTAATGAAACTAATTACACCTCCCTGTAGCCCTGCAAACATCTCAGCAGGTCTTGGGCTCCAGCTGTGTGATTTCCAAAGCCTGCGTAGCTGTGCCTGTGTGCTGGGTACCAGCGTGGGTCTGGGCTGCGCATGGACCCTAGGGAACCGTAGGCTGGTCTTCTCTGTTTGTGGTGGAAATGCATCTTCCATTTGAAAACTAGCAGGTTTGTGGTGAGAGTCACCTCAAGGGGAGAAATCAAGTCCCCCACAGCCTTGGCTTCAGTACAGGTATGGACTGAGGCAGCTGCTCAGTGCTGTCTCTGCCTCTTGGAGCACATCCCGGCTGTGCATCAGGGGCTAGAGGGGAGATAGCCAGATAGTCCTGGCAAATCTGTATATGTCTCTTCCCTCCCCTGCTCTCCGAGGCGTCCCAGTGAAGTGGCAAGCATCCAGACTGCAGCCCGTGCTGCCACACCGCCTCTACCCAGACCTCGCGTTAAATAGGAGAGTCCAGCGCAGCCTGCAAAGCCTTCAGGAGAGCAGCCCCGTGCCGCCTCCTAGCAAGGGGCCAGCTCTGCCGGAGCAGGTATTCCCGTTCCTCCCCTGCTCGAGAAGAGAGCTTGAACTCTTGCAAACGCTCCAGAGATCAACGTCCTTCACGCCGCTCTGGATCCGCTTCAAAGCCAAGTCTTGCACACATCCTGGCGAGGCGTTGGCTGCCTCGCAGCCGCTGGCTGGGGGCGTGGATTTCCAGCCGAGCCGTACCTTCCTGAGCACTGCCCTCCCCTCCCCTGCCTTCCAAGACGAGCTGCTAATCGCAGGGTCGGGCAGAGGCAGGCAGCCCTGCCTGGATCTCACCGACAGGCAGACGGATCCCTTTTCCCATTGCCGAGTTGCCGTCGGGCATATCCTTGGTTATCACTCGGCGATTTGAAAGCCAGCAGTATGTTTTGTGTTGATTTAGTTGTGTTTCATTTGGCCTTTGTAGGCGATGGGGAGCCAAGAGCATTAATTTGGATGACGGATCGTATAAACCCTGACTCCTTCGCTCCCATTCCAGGGGCTTGATAAACGGTAATAGGAACTCTCTCTTCCCCGCGTAAGTGCTATTTTATCAAAAGCTGGCTGAGTTACAGCCCCCCTCTAATGCGGGGGCAATTAGGAACTGGCCGCGTTGCACAGGCTGGAGAGGCAGGCAGGGGAGGGGGGGGCTCCCGTGGGGACGGGAGGAGGACGGGGCTCTCCAAGAGCCATCCAGGGTGCACATAGCCTTGGCTGACAGTACCTTGGCATCGGAGAGCATCTTCAGCCGGGACATCCCAGCGCCGTTCACCCGCACGTGAGCAGAGTCAAGCGGCGCTGAGCCGAAAGGGAGAAAATCAGGGAGTGTGGACGTGCCAGGGACCGTCCGTCGGTCTGGAGGATGTGCCTGGGTTCCCCATACTGGCAGGACGAAGGGATCCTCCGGGATCCAGCGTGGGGAGAGAAGGGGCTGCAGCCGAGGTCCAGCCCTGCCAGGCTGCAGAGGTGTGTGTGCCTGGACACCTCTGCCTGCCGATAATGGATTTCTTCTCTCGCTGAAGGGGACAAGAATAATTTCCCAGCTTCTGAGTACGCTGAGCATTAATAATGATAATGCAGTAAAGCCTCATTAAATTGGGCCTCTGATAATCTACTTGCCCTATTATTAGGCTTAGCAAGATTCAGGCATCTATTTTTATCAAAAATTGATGGTTAAAGACTGGGTTCATTTGTGATTGCTATTGTTTACTGCCCAGTTTCTAATTTCTGGTCAATGCGGGTGTTATGCAGGTGGGTCTGGGGAAGAAGAGCAGTGCAAAATTAAGTGTTTATCGATTACAAGCAAATCCTACCAAACCTGCCTGTAATCCATCCAGAAAAGGCTGTCTCATCCATCTGCTCAGCAAAGCATGAGGATGCACTTGGGATGGAGCTGATGTAGATGAAGCCCTTCTTTTCCCTGGCACCCTGCAGAGCATGGCAGGGTTCAGGCGTCCCCAGCGCGGCTCCTCCATCACTAGACACACTTCTTGGCCTCGGATCAGCCTTTTTATAGCCAGGGTGAACCCAGCTTGGCATTCAGCATACCCCAAGCCAGATAATTTCAGGAAGCTTTCCTGCCCCCAGCCCCAGTGCCTTGCAGAGGACCAGAAAGCCACCTCGCTCCCCGCAGAGGCATCCAGTCGTTCCTCAGAGCCTGTCTTGATCTTCATTTGCCGTTGACAGTCTCGTACAGCGCGGTTGTCCCAGGTGTTCGGAGAACATCTGGTCACTTCAGGCACTGCACGTTATTCCCTTGCTGTCCAAGAAGCTGATGCCGTTATTTCTGGCCACTTCCCCCAGCCTGCAAATGGTTTATAGCCAGCAGCTGTCCTTTAAGAGCGGCTGAGCTTTTGCGTCGTGATGTGATGTGGGGATGGGCTTGTTCCCGGCGTGCCGGCGCGCAGTGGTCCCTGGCAGTGGCCTGGGGTTCCCTGGGCGCTCCGTGCCCATCTGCACACCGCAGACCATGTTGTCACCAGCGAGCCGGTGCCTGCTGGATGTCCCCCGCGTGCCGCAGGGATACCAGCGTTGGTGCCTCTTGGCTTTAACCTCAGCGAAGGGTTTGGCAGGATCATCGTGAATCCCCCCGGCCCTGCCGTGGTGGCTGATGCGGAGCTGTGGGCACAGGCAGGATCTGCCCAGGAGCGGTTTGTACGTGGCCAAGCCCTGGCGAGGTGCTGGTCCTGGTGACTGGCTGCACGTGAAACACCGTCTCTCCTGGATGGGGTGGGATGTCCATGGAGATCCCAGCTGGCAGCGAGCACTAGCAGAGTCACTAACAGGGACATCCGTCCTCCCCTTTAAGCATCTGAGTAAAATAAATGCTGTGAAATCCAGGCAGTGACACTGACACTTTTTCTTTTTAGTTTAGTTGGGGAATTCAGCCCTCATCTCATGGCCAGGTCGGACCGAACTGAAGCCACTTCCCATGTTGGGAGCTGGCGCTGACTTCCCTGCCCGTGTCCGCAGGGACCGCTCACCCGTGGGAGCCGCTGAGCAAGCCGGTTGGTTTCTGTTTCCCTTGCAGAAAAGTCCGTGCATTTCTCATCCATCGCAGAGGCTCAGAAGCTGAGCGCGGAGCCGACGGCCGCCTCGTGCTGGCCCCCTGTCCTGTCCTACTCCCGGGATGTGATAAAAACCTCTCCCCAGGCGGAGCCCCACTTGTTTCAGTATAACCCACCAGGCAAGTAAAAGCCACCGACTGCGTGGCATGTGCCCTCCGTCCTAACCCGGGGCTGAGCACAGAGGCTGTGGTTGCAGCCGGCATCGCAGGTCGTGCTCTTAAGTCAATGCAGCTTTTTGGGGAGGGGGTAAGAGAGAGGGTCCAGCAGAAACCCGCGAACACCTTGCCTTTGGCCCGGCAGGGAGCTCCCTCGCTGCTAATGCAGCGCTCTGAGGGTGGCCAGGCGGGTCTCCCGGCTCTGGTCAGGGCAGGTTTAGGGACGTGGTTTGTCGTAGAACAGTGTGGGCGCTCCCTACGCTGCCCTCGGTGCGAAGTCAGGCGGGTTTTATCCCTCGCTGCGCTGTCCCTCTCCGGGTGGAGGACAGACAAGTCGGGCACAGAACATCCCCAGGCTGCAGAGGGGACAAGGCAGTCACTTAAACTATTCCAGTCTTTTCCAAAACGATTGTGTGACTTGGATCCTTGGATCCCAGGCTCACAGCCGGCCAGTTCACCACATCCAATCCCTGCTCCCTCCCTTGCCCCTTTTCTCTCCGATAGCTGCAGCCGCTCTGCCTTCCCTCGGTCTTGCTAACACTCCTGTTTTCCGCACAGGACACCCCATCCCGCTAAACCTGCATGAGAGCTCTCGCTCGGGGCTGCAGAGACTAGCGAGCATCTCCAACCCTCCTCCCCTCATCTCCTCCACCAAGCACCCCTCCATGCTGGAGAGACCCGTCGGATCCATTTCCCAGGTAGGGTATGGGGTGTGAGCGGCAAAGATGCCTCACGGGGGGCCAGCAACCGCTCCTGACCTCTCCTCTCACACCGCAGGGCATGCCCATCCAGCTCCACACACCCTACAGCTCCGAGCACGCCAAGGTCCCCGTCGGCTCCATCACCATGGGCCTGCCGCTGACCATGGATCCCAAGAAACTGGGTAAGGAACTGGGTGGCGAGTGATTTCTCGCGTGCTCCGAGAGCAGCGGGGAGCGAGCTTGCGGGCGTCATAGGGGAAAGGAGGAGCACAGGACACGGCAAGGGAGTGCAGAGAGACCTGCTAAGAGGATGAAAGGATTAGTCTATCAGGAGAGCAGAGACACAGGGAGCTAAATTTGTGCAGTATAGGAAAGCAGCAACTCGGTCAGGGACGCATCCCAGCCTATAAATACCCTCCAGCTAATACTGTGATCGAAGGAAGGAAATATATTGCCGCTCCCCAGGCCGGTAGGATAAAGAGTAAATGGCCTGAAGTGAACAAAGAAAGTGTTTAGTCTGCAGATTTGGAAGCATTTCTTAACAGCCGGAGGGGATGGGCGAGGGACCAAGTCTGGGTGGGAGGCATACGGGCCCTATTTCCCACTGTGTGCGTGTCCTGTTATAAACCGGCACTGGGTTTTCAACACCAGCCCCGTTCCCGGTGCGGGCAGCACCCGGCAGTGCCTTTGCCAGGGCGAAGGATCTGACTTTGCTCATCAGCGGTTGTGCGTTCAGCCGACTGCCGCAGCCTTGGTGGCGGGGACAGCAAAGGCACCGAGGAGGTGCTGACCAGGGGCTGGCAGAGGTGAAAACCTCGAGCAGCCGAGGGCTGCAGCCCCGTGCCCTGCACCTATGCTGATACGTGGTTAAATGTTTTCCAGTGCCTTTTCCTGGAGTAAAGCAGGAACAACTTTCTCCTAGAAGCCAGGCCAGCCAGCCGGAAAGTCTGGTTCTGCAGCCATCCCAGGAGGGCTCCATCCTGCGGGGTGAGGAGCTGGGGGTGGGAGGTGCGTGCTCCGGCCGCGGGAGGGGAGGGATGCTGGCACCGCCAAGCCTGGTAAACGCTACGCCGGCTGCAGCTGCCTGGTGATTTCAGGTTGGATTTCTGGGGTTGTGCCCAGCCGAAGGGATCTCTTTACCTCTTTTCTCCAGCGTTGCCAGCAGGGTGGCAGCTGGTACAATGTCTCAACATTTCTAGCCATCTCCCCAAATCAGGGCCTCGGGCATTGATCCTGGTGGAGGTTTTGTGTTCAAGGGGCACCCGAAAATCTGTTGCTTAAGACAAAGCAAGACTTTTAATTCCATTAATTGTTTTTTTCAGGCTCTTCACTGTTGCTGCTGCAGCTGGGCAGGGACCATATTCGTTTAAATATAGCCCTCGCATGTTTCTTTCCCCGCTAGCTAGCCAGAAGAAAATAAATGCAAAGATGTTGCTTTTAAGTGCAAATCCTGGTTTGTGAAACCCCCCAACTAAGGCAGTCAGAAGCCTGAGTGCGGTGGGCTGGCTCCAACCCGGGACAGATACACGCGAATGAACTCAGACCACCCTGAGCTGCATCTTGCCAGAGATCTGCTCTGGTCGCATCAGGAGAGGCTGAGACAGGCTGTGCTTTCTCCCGGGCCCATAAATCTGCCCGGCCCCTCCACGAAGGCAGCAGGGAGCTGATAGCCTCAAAATACCCATTTTTTCCACCTCCCAGCCCCAGCGCTCGCAGGTCCCTCGGGGGATGGGGTGGAAAGGGCTCTGCAAGGCATGAGATTTAACACTGACGTCTCTTGGAGGGCTTCCCCTCCAGTACCTCAGCTTCCTAGAGATTGGGTCAAATCCTGCGCTTAGTCAGTAGGCTCAGCCTCACAGGTTTTGTGCTGAGCAGCAAATCCAGCCCCCAGCTCACTGGCTTTGTGTCCTACAGGTACTTCCCTCAGCTCTGCCTCGGGAGGGAGCATCACCAAGGGAACACCCACATCCAGACCCCCTCCGGAGTCACCCATCACCTACCGAGGATCCATCACACATGTAGGTCACTCGGCTCTGGCGGGTTTTGCTTCCTGGGTGCTGGCGGCTGCAGCTTGCGGTGCTGGACACGGGGGTCGGGGGTTTGCGGGGTGCAGCGAGCATGCAGCACGGGGCTGAGCAGCACGGCTCTGTGATGCTCCCATCCCGTGGAGCCCCTCGGAGAGGTCTGCGGCCAGAGCCTTTGCAAACAGCCTCCTCTGGGGCTGGCATGAGCCCTGTCCCGTGAGCCGAGCCTGCAGAAGAGCAGACCTCGGCAAGCAGCGATGCAGAGCCTTACAGCACGTCTAAACCCCCCTTTGCTTTTTGTAGCTGTCAGGAACAGAAGCGAAAGCAGCTTTAAATGGCTCTGGGAAAATAATCTTGCCAGTGCAAGAAAGTGAAGGGGAGAGAAGGAGGAGATGGGTGGAGGGCCCAGGCCAGGCGGAGGGGAGGGGGAGGCTGCGAGGCGCATGTAAGGTAGCGAGGTCTCCTGCCAGGGCTGAGCGTGCTGCGCTGGGGGTCCTGCCCAAAGGCTCTGTTGAGCAGGAAGATACTTTGGCC